CACTTAAACATTGTAACCAAGTAACATGTTTTTTCTTTAATAAATAAGGGTTCTGGGCTGATCACATGTGTGTATCTTCATCTTACAGTCAAACTAAACAGCCACCATATGTAGCTCCTTTAAAGTGACAAATGGTGACAGACTGCTAAGTACAATGCAGGAAGGGCTGTAAGGAGACAGGATCAATTAGCCAGATGATAAAAGATCTGGGATAGAAAGGCCCCTTTGAAACAGTAGCATTTTTTTCAGTGTGTATGTGTATTTGCCTGTACAGGTAACTATGCATAATATTGTCAAACCTGTCTAGAGGATTTAGAAACAGAGTGAAATCCTGGCCTGAATGAAGTCGATGGCAAAACTCCCATTGACTTAAACAAGGCTTGGGATTTCTTGGAAAAGACCTTTCTAAATCTCCTGTACTGCTGTGAAACTCTCAACCTATACCCGCCTGTCTGTAGTGTTGGTGTCTATATTTATCCATCGGGGGGGGGAGAAAATAAATATTGCCAAAAGAAATGAAATGCCATTGAATGAATGAGCAGACTCCCAGGCTCTCTCATTATTCTCTGCCAGCTTCCTGCCTGCAATAATCCCAGCGCTGCCTGACTAGACAGATCCCCTTATCGCAGTAGAAATTACATAAGAGTTATAGAATTGCTGCTGAAGGGAAACAGATTGGGCTGGGCTTGCTTTGTTAGATAACTAATGAGTGGGATACAGCAGGGCAAAGCCAAAAGGGGGGAGGGGGGAAAAGAATATCTTTGTTAAAGAGAATTTGTCAGTTTCTGCCTGCTACTCCCAGAGGAGTGTTCTGGGGAGAGCTAATTGAATTAAGAACATGTGCACTTCTGCTAGCAAACACTCTTTATCTCTGTCAAGTGAAGATGGCAGGCAAAGAGATGGGATTCATGGTAATTTCGGCTCGGCCAACAGCAGCTGTATGCTGCACACTGTAATTGCAGAGAACATGATAAACTGTTGCATTTTGCATGATCCTGTCCCCTGGGGAGGGCAGGTTCAGGGAAGGGCAGGGGGGATTTCCACTTGGCAGTATGGTGCCTTGCTTTCTTTGATGCCAGAGGAGACTTTCTGAGGTCAAGGCCCCCAGCTTAATGAAATGCATCAGCACAGAAGACAGCATCTGATGGCGTTAATGAGGCAGCAATTGGGAAGGTTATGAAGGCATCTTCAGAGCACTTGGAAACTTCCTTGTTCTGTACATAGTCTCCCCCAGTGGCAGCGGCTTTGGGGAATCAAGGAAGGAAAGGCACTCGGGCCAAAGGCTGCGGATGTGCATTGTTTTGTGTCTTCAAAGACGGCTCCTCATTACTGCACTAACAAGACAGTGTCATCCACAGTCACGGAGCAAGACATAGAAAGGGCCATTTTGCCGCTTCCCATCACAGACACCAATTTGGCAAGTTAGAGGTGCATGATTACTTGGGCAGTGCTAAATGAAGAGACCGTCTGCAAGGCACACACCAATCCTGGGAGAGGGAGACTTGAGATTATTGCAATGAAAAATCCTCTGGCTCCATGGAGTTTGCACGGCCCAGCTGAATCTTCTCCAATGAATGATCATTTCCCCTCTAGTTAAGGGCCTTTTGCCTTTCCCAGTTGTTTGGGCTGCTGGTGAATTTCCCTAATATTAGCTGTGTAATTGAGCCCTAAACCCATGCCTGTATCAGCACAGGAACAACTCCAAGGGTAATGGAATTATGTCTGTGCATCTCACCCTCCTGAGCACAGGCCACTTCAAATGCAGACAGGGATTTGAGCTGATGATAACACGTTAGTCAAAAGTCAGGCCTACAGATTACTGCAGAGGGGGGAGCTGCCACAGTATCAGAGAAACAGGGTTACTCCTTTGGGAACCAGGTTACTGATTATTATGGGGGTGCCATGGACTTTGCTGATTATTCCAGTACAGAAGTGATGGCCCTCAGGGACTAGTGTTAATATAGCCATTGGCATTCAGCAGCTTAGTAATCAGACACCTTAGAGAGCCATGGGACAAACTGTTGTCTGCCAAGAATGGGGTCACTAGATAAGATACAGGCTCTGGGGAGTGGAGTCTTTGGCAACTAGTGTCACTGGGTAAGCTAGACTCGGAGACACCTGGCCCAGATCCACAAAAGTATTTAGGCTCCTAACTCCCAGTGTCTGGCTAAGAACCGAGAGCCTGTCCCTTCCCCAGTGAACCTAGTTACTGTCATGGGGAACAGTGGCACCTAGATTTGTTTTGTCAAAGAAATCACAAGCAGAGAAATGCAGAATAGCAGAATCAGATTGTGGAGGGAGTTGGAAGAGACATGGGGTCCAGGCCAGGGAGAGCAGAGATTGCTACAGCTCAGAAACCAGAGTGCGTGGCAATGTTTGGCAGAGGCCCTACACCAAAATACCAGGTCACGAATGAGGAGCATTGGCAGACCGGGGTACAAGCCCAACATTGCCACAGCATAGCTCAGCAGTGACATGTTGTCAGAGGGGTGTGCCTGTTCATGGTATCCCAGCAGCTAGCCTCTGCCATGGGCCCAGTACTTACAGAAACCAAAACCTTCAAGTGATGGAATAAATGAAACCAGGAAGAAGCTAAGAGCTGGGAGCCCCATCACCTCTGGGAGTAGCAGAAGGCAGGTGCTAATGCCAACGGTGGTGGAGGGTGGTTGTAATTCATCAGGCAAATTCTGCAAAGCATAAATCCACCCTCCCCTCCCCCACCATCCTAACTATGACCCCTCTTCCAGGGCGGCAGCAAGGGTTGTATGGACTCCATTGTTTATTTCATTAGATCCAACTTCCCTCTCTAACCAGATTAGATGGCAGTCAATAAAACCCAGGCTGGCGGGGGATGGGGACAGAGCTGAGTGGCTGGAAATGAAAGAAGGGAAAATCGCATTACAGTCCTGAATTAGCATCTGGCTCAGGCCCTGGTTCTGCTTGCTATGTGCACCACGCCAATCCCTTGCAAAGCCCACTGTGCTGGGACTACCCTAGGGACGTTTGCCACCGTACCGTGACCTTGTGTGCTCTTGTGACCTGATGCAAAGCTCACTGTAGATTATGGCAAGGCTCCTCTTGACTTCAGTGAGCTCTGGATCAGGCCCAGAGAGAAAGAGGAGCAGGATCATTTGAATAAGGCTTTGCCTTTCTGGGACACCCTCCCTCAAAGGATTTCAAAGTCTTTTCCAGATCTCCAATTAAGCCTCACGCCCGCCTTGTGTGGTGTGGTCAATGATATTATCCCCCACTGGATGGATGGCAAAGTGAGGAAGCCCAAAAAGGTGAGCTGGCTTGTCCGGAGGCATACAGCAAATGAGAGCAGAGCCCGGCGTCTTAGCTCCTATTCCCTCTTGTCCCTCCCTGTATGGTTCTGGAGAAAATCAGGGCACAAAACAATACAGCAAACTGTTGGATCACAAGACTCACCAGCAATGAGCCTAGTCTCAATGGCTAACATACCCAACCCCCCTCAGACCCACCTGCAGGAACCTCCAAGGTGCTTTGCCTTCCCTGCATCCACAGGGGAAGCCGGTGTACACAGAGCAAAGGAAACCTGATTTTGGTCCTTCATTCTCCTCAAAGGTCTCCTCTCACAGAGGAAGGGAGGGTGGTCTAGTCGTTAGAAATCCAGCTTCAGTTCCCTGCTGGGCCACATGCTTCCTGTGTGGCTTTGGGAAAGTTATTTTCTCGGTGCTTCAGTTTCCCAGCTGTAAAATGGAAGGATTAGTACCTGCCTCCCACTCATGCATTAGGCCAAATATGGAAAGAGTGTGAGCTGCTTGGATATTGCAGCAGTGGGGGTTGGGTAAGTACCTACAGTAGAAGCCCTCCATGTCGAGAGCATGGGCTGGGTTTGGGTTGGGCTCCATGCTGAGGGCATGGGCACATCACCTGTTCCAGTGGGAATCTTTTCCTTGCCATAGAGGGGTTGCTGGACAGAGTACTTCCTTCAGTCTCCTTTCCTGCACAGATACAGCATGTAGACCAGTCTGCCTCCTCCACTCCTGCCTTGCAAGATTGATCCTTCAGGGCCAATTGCAGGGGCTGCTCTCTACCCAGACCTCTCTCCTATGCAGCCAACTTTTTCACTAGGAGGGTGGTGAAGCACTGGAATGGGTTACCTAGGGAGGTGGTGGAATCTCCTTCCTTTGAGGTTTTTAAGATCAGGCTTGACAAAGCCCTGGCTGGGATGATTTAGTTGGGGTTGGTCCTGCTTTGAGCGGGGGTTGGACTAGATGACCTCCTGAGGTTCCTTCCATACTTGGGGAGGCACAGTCGGCCCCCTTTCCCAGCATGGGGCTGATGAGATGGAAGAGAAATAAAAACCAGCATGTAGGCCAAGGGGCCAGACTGGGCTGTGAACAGGCACAGGGCGGATCTGTTGAGAAAGGCAGGTGCCACAGATACCTAGCAGCTCACTTCAGGGAATTAAGCCTCAAAAGTCTATAGGCCTCGAATGCCACTGTGACACGGGGAGGGATTATTATCCCCACTTAGCAATAGAAAATTAGGGCCAGAGAGGTTAAGTGCAAGGCTCTAGCAGAGCCAGGAATCAGACCCACAACCATGTTCTGTGCTCCTAGTCCCAGGAGCCTTCCCCTCTCATTGGCTAGTTCACAGCCCCAGCAGGAGTCAGACAGAGCAGCACCTCTGAAAGTGAAGCCCATAGTGCCCAAGATCTGTTGTTTGACAGGGTTTGATTTTTTAGAAGCCTTGCACAACTCTCTTCCTGCTTTGTGTGCATGGCTATCCCAGCTGGGCACACCAACATGGCCAGAGCACGTGGAAATTAGGGACAGGATTGCTCTCACAATTCTAGAGGCAGCTGGAGGCTTCTGGGCTATTGAAAATCAGGCCCGCAGGGTCTTGATTTCTAAGAAGCAACCACAGGAGAGAATATGGGTTATTCAGAACCCTGCCCCCCTGCTCTGTTCAGCTCTGATCCATTACCTACATTCAAGCTCTCTCCATCTAAGCTGTATTGTTGTTTTTTCCAGAGACCGGATATGTTTCTCACCCCATCCAACATTGACACTCTTCCCGTCCTGGATCCCAAACTCCTGAGGAGGATTGGGGCAATCAGAGAGCCCTGGGCACAATCTTCCTCTCTTGTACCATATGCTTCCGTCAAAGGGGACAAATCAAAGTTAGTACCTCAGCCCCTGGACAAGGTAAGTTCTCTCCTTTCCCTGCTGACACAGATTGCCCACATAGGATTTAGGAGCATTGCATGGGAATCCAGGTCTCCCTGAGCAGGGTGCACTGCTGTCTATTAGCCAATGAGATTTTCTCAGCCCTGCACTGGATTTGAATGTGTCTCTGACCTACTATGGAGATAATAAAATGGCTGTTACGATTCTTTCTCTCAGACCCCTGAGGATGGCATGTGCCATTCATTCCTTTTTCTTTCTAAATTGCAAGTGGCTTTCATGTTGGTGAAAGCAGCCAGATAGCGGTATTTTACACTGATGTGATAACCCTAATGCTCCCTAGATCTTAGAGCATTTAAGAAAGGAGGGTAAACATCATTCTCCCTAGTCTACAGGTGGGGAAACTTGCACGTGGACACCAGCCCCAAGATCACACAGAGCAGAGTTGGGAATGGAACCCAAGCCTCTGCACTTCCAAGTCCATGCACTGTGTTCACAGGACCATGCTGCTTCCTCCTCTACAGAGGCTTGAACCTACAGCTGCTTGCAACACAAATGATTCTGCTGTGCATGCATTTTTTGGCTTTGTTCTCTAACTGTGGTTACCAAGAAGCTTCCCCATGGGCCATACTTGCCAGCTGCAGAGATTCTTACTCCTTCCCCTGACCACTGTCAAAGACAGGATACTGGGCTAGATGGCCCATAGGTCTGATAAGATCTAGCAATTATAATAATATTATATAATCCCTTCTTTCTACAGGGACTCGGGTTTTCTTTCTTTTATCTAACGGGACTGTTGGCCCCTTACTAAAACTTAGTGAGGGGGGAGATTGGTTGGCCATCTCCCAGTAACAAAAGGAAGGGTCAGTGGGAAATCAGGACCCTGAGACTGACAGTCCCAGCAGTTACCTGAGAGGCAGTGACCATGAGATGGTTGAGTTCAGGATCCTGACACAAGGAAGAAAGGAGAGCAGCAGAATACAGACCCTGGACTTCAGAAAAGTGGACTTTGACTCCCTCAGGGAACTGATGGGCAGGATCCCCTGGGAGAATAACATGAGGAGGAAAGGAGTCCAGGAGATCTGCTGTATTTTAAAGAATCCTTATTGAGGTTACAGGGACAAACCATCCCAATGTGTAGAAAGAATAGTAAATATGGCGGGCGACCAGCTTGGCTTAACAGTGAAATCGTTGCTGAGCTTAAACACAAAAAAGAAGCTTACAAGAAGTGGAAGATTGGACAAAGGATGAGGAAGGAGTATAAAAATATTGCTCAGGCATGCAGGAGTGAAATCAGGAATGCCAAATCACACTTGGAGTTGCAGCTAGCAAGAGATGTTAAGAGTAACAAGAAGGGTTTCTTCAGGTATGTTAGCAACGAGAAGAAAGTCAAGGAAAGTGTGGGCCCCTTATTGAATGAGGGAGGCAACCTAGTGACAGAGGATGTGGAAAAAGCTAATGTACTCAATGCTTTTTTGCCTCTGTCTTCACGAACAAGGTCAGCTCCCAGACTACTGCATGGGCAGCACAGCATGGGGAGGAGGTGACCAGCCCTCTGTGGAGAAAGAAGTGGTTTGGGACTATTTACAAAAGCTGGACGAGCACAAGTCCATGGGGCTGGATGTGCTGCATCCGAGAGTGCTAAAGGAGTTGGCGGATGTGATTGCAGAGCCATTGGCCATTATCTTTGAAAACTCATGGCGTTTGGGGGAGGTCCCAGACGACTTGAAAAAGGCTAATGTAGTGCCCATCTTTAAAAAAGGGAAGAAGGAGGATCCGGAGAACTACAGGCCAGTCAGCCTCACCTCAGTCCCTGGAAAAATCATGGAGCAGGTCCTCAAGGAATCAATTCTGAAGCACTTCGAGGAGAGGAAAGTGATCAGGAACAGTCAGCATGGATTAACCAAGGGCAAGTCATGCCTGACTAATCTAATTGCCTTCTATGATGAGAAGACTGGCTCTGTGGATGAGGGGAAAGCAGTGGACGTGTTATTCCTTGACTTTAGCAAAGCTTTTGACACAGTCTCCCACAGTATTCTTGCCAGCAAGTTAAAGAAGTTTGGGCTGGATGAATGGAGAATAAGGTGGATATAAAGCTGGCTAGATTGTCAGGCTCAACAGCGATCAATGGCTCCATGTTTAGTTGGCAGCCGGTATCAAGCGTAGTGCCCCCAGGGTCGGTCCTGGGGCCGGTTTTGTTCAATATCTTCATTAATGATCTGGAGGATGGTGTGGATTACACCCTCTGGAAGTTTGCAGATGACACTAAACTGGGAAGAGAGGTAGATATGTTGGAGGGTAGGGATAGGATACAGAGGGCCCATGAGGATTAGGGGATTGGGCCAAAAGAAATCTGATGAGGTTCAACAAGGACAAGTGCAGAGTCCTGCACTTAGGACGGAAGAATCCCATGCACCACTACAAACTAGGGACCGAATGGCTAGGCAGCAGTTCTGCAGAAAAGGACCTAGGGGTTACAGTGGACGAGAAGCTGGATATGGGTCAACAGTGTGCCCTTGTTGCCAAGAAGGCCAGTGGCATTTTGGGCTGTATAAGTGGGGGCATTGCCAGCAGATCGAGGGACATGATCTTTCCCCTCTATTCGACATTGGTGAGGCCTCATCTGGAGTACTGTGTTCAGTTATGAGCCCCACACTACAAGAAGGATGTGAAAAATTTGGAAAGCATCCAGCAGAGGGCAACAAAAATGATCAGGGGACTGGAACACATGACTTATGAGGAGAGGCTGAGGGAACTGGGATTGTTTAGTCTGTGGAAGAGAAGAATGAGGGGGGATTTGATAGCTGCTTTCAACTACCTGAAAGGGGGTTCCAAAGAGGATGGATCTAGACTGTTCTCAGTGGTAGCAGATGATCGAACAAGGAGTAATGGTCTCAAGTTGCAGTGGGGGAGGCTTAGGTTGGATATTAGGAAAACCTTTTTCACTAGGAGGGTGGTGAAGCACTGGAATGGGTTAGCTAGGGAGGTGGTGGAATCTCCTTCCTTTGAAGTTTTTAAGATCAGGCTCAACAAAGCCCTGGCTGGGATGATTTAACTGGGAATTGGTCCTGCTTTGAGCAGGGGGGTTGGACTAGATGACCTCCTGAGGTCCCTTCCAACCCTGATATTCTATGATTCTAATGGGGAGAGGCCAGTGCTCCAAGTCAGCCTGACTGACAGGGCAGGCAGGGTAACAAGGGAGTCAGGAGGCCAGGGGAGTCCGGTCCTCCTTGTGAGCGGAACTGCTAGACATTGCAAACCCACAAAAAAACTGCAGAAATTGGGCTTGTTTTTGGCTTAATTGGCTTGTGAGTTGCTTGTTGACTAGTTTTTTGCTTGTTGCTTGTTTGGCTTGTAGCTTGTTGCTTCTTCTTTTTTTTTTTATATGCTCCCTGCAAGCAGGGGCAATGGGTGGGGAGAGAGTCAGGGGTGCACAGCAGCCCCACCACAGTCCCAGACTGCACGATGGGGGGATCCAGTTCCATAGAGTGTGGGAGTTCTTAGGGGGATTGGCTTGGTTTGGCCTTGTTTTGAAATGGGATTAGCTTGATTTTTGGCTTATTGTGAAACTCGGAGTGCTTATTTACCATGTGAAAGTTGGTAACTGTGGGAACTGCCTGGAACAGAGTATGACCAAACTGAGAAGGGAGCAGGGACCTGAGCTGAGCTCGGGAGCAGGGCCTCGCCGGCCACAGACAATCAGAGAAGCAGCCTAGGGAGCAAGTCAGTGCTGGGAGCAGAGCCACAGAAGTAGCCCAGGGAGCAGGTCAGTGCTGTGAGCAGAGTCACAGAAATAAGAGCCAGAGAAGCAGCCCAGGGAATAGGTCAGTGCTGGGAGGAGAACTGCAGCACCCAGAGCCAGAAGGGCCAGAGAAGCAGCCCAGGTGGCTGTAGGCAGAACAGCAGCAGCGCTGGGGCTGGACTTGGGGCTGGAGCTGGAGCAGTACGGAGCTGGGTGCAGTGAGCAGCTGGGAAGAGCGAGGGGAGACCCTGGGCAGTGGGCTCAGTGCAGGGAGACCCCAGCCAAGAGACCTTGCAGGCCAGACTTGGAGGGGTATCATAACCTCGATTGTGGGGAGGGGCGGACAACGCTGTGGGAAAGGACCCTGCCACCTAGAGTCTGAAGGTGTGTGGCGACCACCAGAGCAAGTGTCTGACCCGCAGAATCCCTGCAGCACAGCCAAGGCCTGGGCAGGAGGCCTGGGACGTGTGAGGAACAGACTGTGAATCATAGAAGATTAGGGATGGAAGAGACCTCAGAAGGTCATCTAGTCCAACCCCCTGCTCAAAGCAGGACTAACCCCAACTAAATCATCCCAGCCAGGGCTTTGTCAAGCCGGGCCTTAAGGATGGAGATTCCACCACTTCCCTAGGTAACCCATTCCAGTGCTTCACCACCCTCCTAGTGAAATAGTGTTTCCTAATATCCAACCAAGACCTCCCCCACTGCAACTTGAGACCATTGCTTCTTGTTCTGTCATCTGCCACCACTGAGAACAGCTGAGCTCGATCCTCTTTGGAACCCCCCTTCAGGTAGTTGAAGGCTGCTATCAAATCCCTCCTCACTCTTTTCTTCTGCAGATTAAACAAGCCCAGTTCCCTCAGCCTCTCCTCGTAAGTCATTTGCCCCAATCCCCTGATCATTTTCATTGCTCTCCGCTGTACTCTCTCCAATTTGTCCACATCCTTTCTGTAGTGGGGGGCCCAAAATTGGACACAGTACTCCAGATGTGGCCTCACCAGTGCCAAATAGAGGGGAATAATCACTTCCCTCGATTTGCTGGCAATGCTCCTACTAATGCAGCCCAATATGCTGTTAGCCTTCTTGGCAACAAGGGCACACAGCTGACTCATATCTAGCTTCTCATACACTGTAATCCCCAAATCCTTTTCTACAGAACTGCTGCTTAGCCAGTCAGTCCCCAGCCTGTAGCGGCACATGGGATTCTTCCATCCTAAGTCCAGGACTCTGCACTTGTCCTTGTTGAATCTCATCAGATTTCTTTTGGCCCAATCCTCCAATTTGTCTAGGTCACTCTGGACCCTATCCCTGCCCTCCAGTGTATCTACCTCTCCCCACAGCTTAGTGTCATCTGCGAACTTGCTGAGGGTACAGTCTGTCCCATCATCCAGACCATTAATAAAGATGTTGAACAAAACCGGCCCCAGGACTGACCGCTGGGGCACTCCGCTTGATGCCAGCTGCCAACTGGACATCAAGCCGTTGATCACTACCCATTGAGCCCGACATTCTAGCCAGCTTTCTACCACCTTATATTCCATTCATCCAATCCATACTTTTTTAACTTGCTGGTAAGAATACTGTGGAAGACCATATCTGAAGCTTTGCTCAGGTTAAGATATATCACGTCCAGTGCTTTCCCCATATCTACAGAGCCTGTTATCTCATCATAGAAGGCAATCATTTTGGTCAGGCATGACTTGCCCTTAGTGAATCTATGTTGACTGATCGTGATCACCTTCCTCTCCTCCAAGTGCTTCAAAATTGATTCCTTGAGGAAGTGCTCCATG